CCCTCTCGGTGTTTCAGCGGTAAGTCTGCAGGCTTACGATTTTAAAAATCAGGTTTCAATATCTGTGGTGGGCAGAACACGGATAGCCCATTATGTAGCTTTGTGCTTAACAACTTCTAAGCCAAAAGCCTTACAATAAATTAGGTTAAAAACAGTTGAATAAAATTTATTAAATGCTAAAAGTGATATTGAAAATGAATGAAATAACCGATGAGTTAAGTCGAATGAGCGTCTATTAACTTTTGTAAAAATAAAATTTGTTAATCAAAAGTAATGTGTTTTATTTTGTTTCGCTAATGCTTTAAAAAAACGTTCTTTTATTGTGTTTCCCATTGGTCTTTGAAGAAATGTTTTTATCTTCACACTTTCTTGTATTTTAATAAAAATATGTCAAAGGTTCTTTAATGGAAGTCCAATAAATCCCATTTTACATTTAGACATTTAAATCTTTTTCGTTCCGTGGTGGATTAGAAGTAAGTTTACGGACTTCCAACACTGAAATATGGAGTTCGATTCCACGCGGTGGACATTTTGTTTGTATGTCTGCGGACTTACAACACTAGAATCCGGGTTTCGATACCTGTGGTGGGCAGAGCATAGATAACCCATTGTGTAGCTTTGTGCTTAATTACGAACAAAGAACAAACAAAATGTCCACCGCGGCGCCATTGTAGCGCAGCGGTATGTCTGCGGACTTACAACACTAGAATTCGGGTTTCGATACCTGTGGTGGGCAGAGCATAGATAACCCATTGTGTAGCTTTGTGCTTAATTACGAACCGCTGCGCTACAATGGCGCCGCGGTGGACAGAGTTCAGATAGTCTATTGTGTACCTTTGAGATAAAACAAGCAAAATAATTTTTTCAACTCATGACACTCATATTACTCAATGTCAATGTTGTAGTGCTTATTGTTTCTTGATTTATAATATACATAGATACACAACGGTTCGAATGTAGAGACCAGTCCTACTTTGATGAAGTTCAATCGCTCTAAGCTTTGCAACATATGAGTGATTCTGTACTTAGGGTACTTTTTCTTTCAGTGTAAATCAGTTTTTTAAATAATTATGTGCCAAATTTTTATTTAAACCTATAAGAATATCTTGTTATAGAAGTGCTTTCGATCCAAGATGGGCTAGTATTCAAATTAAAATCACATTTATCTGTCGAAAAATATATAATTATCGGTAATTTTGTCTATTTACTGTCAAACAAATGCATGTCTCAAGAATTCAACTGAAATAAGTGAGCGTAAGACAGTTAAGCTGGTGGCGCTACCTTTTGACCGAGACAAAAGTTGTTGTATTTTAAAAAAAAAAGTTTTACAGCTACACTTGTGAGTCAGATTACTTTATATGTAGTCATAAAGGATCACGTATAAATAAATTAGGGTTGTATTCATGTCTATTTTTTATAGAAATGACTCAGAATGTGTTTTAAATGTATAAATGATAAACGATGAACAGTTGATCAAAATCATAGGAAAGCTAGAATAATAATTTCCGTTTTTTACGATGCACTGTAATTTTGACAGAAAAATTAATAAATACATTTTTCGAATGTATGTGTTCAAAAGACTGAAATATATAATGTGAAATGCATATTGGAAGTTTCGACCGAACATCTTTGTTCAGTGATTTTTTTATATTTATATATTTTCTCTTTGTAATTAATAAACTGCGTATGATGTTTGTCAAATAGAAATCTGAAAGATAAATCCAATAATAGTTTACTCTTTAGAACACTTATTTCAAGCGTACAGTATTTTGAGAATGACAATAAATATTTTAATGAAGTATTTCTTGCGGAACAAACTTTATTAGAAAACATATAAAAATAATAATTTATATGTGTATTAAAAACAGCAACCAATTTATATGTCTAAAGTTACTTGTTAGTTAAAAATGTTCAAGTCCATAAATCTTTCTTAAATATTTAAGAAATGTACAATATAAAGATAGTTTACAAAGAGTAAGACATAAGAAAGCGTTCGTACTACGAAGTTTAACGATATCCTTAAAAAGCTAATTTTGATTGAAAAGATTAAATTAACGAATCGGTAAAACATGATTGTTGGAGACGAAATAAACATAGTCCTTATTACACTCAATCACTTTTTCCAATGATGTGTAATAATTTTCTGCAAAATTTAACAAATTCTAAACTTTAGAGCAAATATTCAAACAAGAAGAAGATATCTATTTTAGTATTTGTGTTGTGTATTTATTGCAAAGGTACTAAGACCTATCTGTCGCCGTCCCTAGTTTGAACTACTGACTAGAGGGAAGGTAGTCAGTCAGCAGCACCCTAGGACCTACCATCCACACAAATAAATTGAAGGCCACTTTTTTAACGCACTCGTAGCTTAATGTGAGGAAAGTAGAAAATCAGAATACTGATTCATGTAGGACACTTTTAATTCAAGAATGTTATAGTAGTATTTGTCTTTTATTTGTTGTTTTTATTGTATAATGTAATATTATAAAGTTTCATTTCGGTGCTTAACACCATTGAATCTGTCGTATTGAACTAAAATCAAAGACCAATATAAATTTAACACCAATGAATCTGTCGTATTGAACTAAAATCAAAGACCAATATAAATTTACACAGTGCAGATAATTCATTTTGCAGCTTTGTGCTTAACAACAAATAACTAAGCACGTCGAAAATTTATTTCAATTGTTAATTGTTTTTATGAATAAAGTGGTCTCTTTTTTTATTAGTATAAATAGCCAGGACAAAAGAGATCTACGAAATTTATACTAGTCTTTGATTTTAGTTCAATACGACAGATTCATTGGTGTTCCTTTCAAGGATCGAAACTCGAATTTTTGCGTTATAAAACCTTCGCGCTTATCGCTGAACCTTTGTGCGGCGTTGGGCTACAATGAAACAATACTTCTTGTGGCATCTTGTGGACCTTTGCCACATTGAATTAATGGCATTAATAACGAAAACGGCTCAACTTTATATTAGACTGGTTGTAGTAAAGGAATCAGGCAGTGTATAATAGAATGCCTATGTTACATATATATACACAAACACTTATATGCATTACCACAAAAAGTTATAACAATATACTATTCGATGTAGAAATCGAGGAAAGTAAAAAATCAAGTATTTAAAAAACAAAATACATAGAGTTTTCTGTACATTTAAATAAAAAATGTATTTGTGAGTATTTTTCTGTGCTTAGTTCTTATCCCAAGCCCGGGTATATTTGACAGGCTGCGCCATCTCTTAACAATTATAACCAATAGGTTTAAGCATGAGAGTTTCAGAATCACAACTTCTGTTGTACTCTTCTAATTCCTGTTATTACATTTGAAAACGTTGACATATTTTAGAAACAATATTCAAATCTCTCGAATGTTGAATTTATTGTAGTCAACGTGGTTAGTGTTTTAATAAGTTCTTTGAATAATTATTCAAACTTTTATTAAACCAGTGGATGGGTTATATAAACACAATACTAGTGAGAGAGTGTGCAATAATCTAACATGAAAACGAAACAAAACTATAATTAATAATAAAAAAGTACAAAATGTTGTTAGTACTATTAACTACGCATCTTTTGCGAATAATGATTACATAACATCTTACAGTTTATTATTACATTTATTTTATAATTGACTGATTTTCTAAAAAATGAACTTTATCACAAAGAATATTCAAGATGCATTTCGGTAATTATGTTGCTAGTTTTATTAGTAACTACACAAGCTAAGTTCGTATTAACATAGATCTTATGAACTTTTCTTCTCATTCAGTTTTTAGAAGACATTTCTGGTTATAAGCTGAGTCTTTCTTCAAACCCGATAAACAAAGCTTTAGCTTGTTGCCACTTGTAAACCACTGACTGCTTTTAAAAAAGTGTGTTCATGATTTTTAACAAAAACGTTTTATTTCCAAAAGAAAAGAAAACCGCTCTAGAACGTATGGGAAAGGTTGTTTCATAATTATGGAGACTGGTGACTCTGAACCTTTGTATTCCATTACACATCATAAAAACAACAAATATTTTATATGTACTTATCAGGGGAATTGGTGATCCTGAGACTCTGTATCCCATTTTAGAACACCACAGCAATAAATCTTTGGTGGGTAGTAATTCAAAATTAATTTTGTTTTTATCAAAAGGCACCCAAATTTGCTGTACGAATCGGAGAGCAGAAAATTTGGATCCTAGTTAGTGCCTTCAATGAGTGAACTCAACTTCACTTATCGAATGATTATCCCCTTTAGATTTCAATCGATTTGGCCAAAGTTTATGATATTTGATACAAAAAGTAAAGATGTTTAAACTGAAAAAAAGTTATAAGCAGTTTATCCAAACTCTATATTGGCATTTATATATAAAACATTTACAACACTGACAGCTAAAAAAAATGGAAAAGGATAAAACTAGGGCCTTTAAAATGCGGAATACGGCATAATGTCTATGAAAAACAGTACATTTTAAAATTTAAACGGAGATTTTTCCATGTCACCTGTAGTCCTTACGTATAGACACAATACATATATTGTGGCAGAAACTATCATAAGTTATATTGCGATGTAAAATCACACAAGCCATTCATCAATAGATCGGCAGAACACCAAATATTTTAACTACTTCTTATTACGACAAAATAAAAGGTAAATAAATGAAAGGTTTAGAATCTCGGCCAGTATTTCAGCATTTGAAATCCAGAAAAAGCTTAGGAATTTCAACTCCTATTTATATTCCATATAATAATTTTATTTTGGAACTACACGAAATTGTTTTTTTTTCAGTTTAACTAGAATAGTGAAAAAATAGATAAAAATAGATTTTTAAAAATTACATTGTACCAAAGTATATTTGGTATTCAGAAGTACTTTCAAAAACCGTGTATATATATGTATCAAATAGTAACCTCATATTTAAATAAAAGTTTTTAACAGCACACAAGGATACTGTACTTCTATTTTTGACTGTTTCTTCACTAGATGTCGCAAAGTTGTAACTATTATTAACACCGGTTTGATGCATATAGACCGAAAACAAGGCCTACATGACCGAGTATATGTTGTATGTAGTTTAGGACTGGTTAATAATGATGTATATGGATATTAGTATATCTGTAATGAAGCTATTTAACCTACTTGAAGAAACCAAAAGTCTGTAATCAAGTCAATTGACTAACTAATCAGCCTGGCGAGTGGTAGCATATCACGCCGCCATATTCCTATCTTCAAACTCATGCTCGAAAATGTCTGTAGATGTCGTTAGGTTCCCTTGTTTGTTGTTACGGTTTACGTTACTAACTATCAGTATCACTAGTGCTACAATTTTCTATTCCATTTCCACTCCAGTACATCCCTAATCACTTGAGCTTGTCTTGCGTATCTGTTGTTCCTAGAAGTAATATATTGTGTGTCAAAGGTTTTCTGACCATACTTACAATTAATATTTTTATATCTACTGACATAAAAACTCAATGATATCTCATTCAACTGTTCCAGGAAATGACCCTTTTTACCGGCAAGGGGTTGAAGACACGGGCATTAATCCCTATGTTTTCCGTGAGTTCGCCTTTCAATCCTTCATGAAAGAAATGAGCAAACCCGAGAACATGATGAACGCCTTATCGTGGAGACGACTTCACTTAAGTAGAGCAAAACTGAAAGCATCCAGTAGAACCTCTGCATTATTGTCAGGTTTTGCCATGGTAATTATGTTTACTTTCTTTATTAACATATCAAGTATTATCTAATTATTTTACAAACTTTAATGCACAGGTTTATGAAAACTTAAGCTGGACACTACTAGTACTAATGTCATTAGTCTTCTTGTTATTTTAATTGAAATGCAAGTACATGCATATCAAAGTAATGTGTGTTAGTAATGTTGTAACGTTAATCTTTCGTTGGTGGGTTCTTTTAAGTTATCTAATATTAGCTGAAAGTAATTCAAAATCCAGACCATGTAAACCATAAAAAATGGGTTTATTTCCCATTTAATGTTGCTACAAGCTTGAACACTTGTACACTGTTATAAATTGTTGTAAACCTATATTACAAATGACATTTGCCTCTAACAATACAAGGACTAACAAAAAATCTAGTCAACTTGCACAAAGTAACTGTGAATGTGATAGCTAGCACACTAGCTTATTCACTCTATTATCTTTTCGAAATGACTATCTTTTAGCTGACTCTACTCCTGAAACAACTCACTTTCGAACTTATCAAGGAATGTCATATTTATAATCTACATTTGCTTTAGATATTTCTAGGACTTGCTTGATCATAATTACTGGTACTACCAGTGATAGTACTAAATGTCATGTACTTTTCAACATAAGCACTCAAGCAAAGTAACCTGTAAGTTATCTTAATGAAGCAGAGTGGTATTAATTTTAATCTTTGTTTTGTTTTTTTTTCCCTTCCTGGTAAGACTTCCATCTTTACTATAAATAGGAAAAACTGATGAAATACATGTATACTGACCAATAATTTCATTAGTTCTGTCCAAAAAAAAATATATCAGTCATCATGTTACTTTTATAATATATTAATTACATTAATTAATTTGAATGGAATGAAATCTGAAATTTTTATTAATTGGTGAAAGGGAAATAATTCATAACTGAGTGTAATATCTATTATATAGGGCTTTAGTAATTTCAGTTAAGACTAATAAATATGAAATATTTAATATTATGATTATAACATATGATGCATAGCACACAGAATATGATTTAGACTATATCACAAGCACATTTTTATTTAGTTTTGTAAACTTCCACAATGTAGTATACTATAACACTTAATACAATAAAGTCTACTAAAAAGTCAATAAAAATAACATGCACTTAGATATTTTTATCATACGAAACAAAGTCTTTAATTAGTGAGTTTAAAAGAAGTTGACATCAAAACCCTCTTCTGAAGATATGTTAACCAAACTTTATTTTTCCATATGTTCTCACAATGATTGGAAACAGTATATTTAAACCTCATAATCTTTATTTTTCTTAAAGTTTGTTCTCTTTATTCATTCCTGATTTACATTTTAAACTAGCATGTTTTTTAATTATATTAAATGTAAGCTAAGTGTTAAAATGGGGATTGGACCTTTAAAGGATGCTGACAGCAAGGGTTTTGTTGGACTGTAAAGGTATCTGAGTTTTTAAATATTTTTATTTTTTTACAAACGAGGATGATAGCAGTATTACTGATCTTGAGAATTCTGTGGGAAGTATTAGGTTTAACCTGAATCATGCTGTTAGTTTTAATTTTTTCAGCCAACTTTTGGGTTTCTTAATTTCATTTTTTTAACCAAATCACTAGCTTTCTTGTAATTCTATGAATCTTTCATCTCTCCTATAAATTTAAACTTTTTTTTTAAAATATATTACATTTATCCTCGATTTTCTTCTTTGTGAGTTTAGTAAGCTGGTTTGGCTGAATCTTCTCTGTTATTATTTTCCTCTTTTTAGGAACATGCCTATCTTTAATTAAAATCAGTTTATTTGTAAAAATTTCCCATTTATATTTATCATATAACCTCTACAACTCTTTATCCCAATTCACTTGTATATCTTATTTCATGGCTTAAAAATTGGAATTCCAAGAATTAGGAACTAAAGTTTTAATTTATTTTTATATCAACAAGAAACAAAATATCAAACCTAATTATGCAATGATCATTCTTCTCTAAGTGTACCCCCATTTAAACTCTTTTAACTGCATCGTCATTAGTAGTTAACTTTAAACTTAAAATTGCTTCCTCTCTGATTGGCTGTTTGACCTCTTGGTGTAGAAAAACTTTTTCATCGTTTGACTAAATAAATTCCCATAGTTATCACATCAGTATCCATATATGAGCTAGAACCCCAATTTCTGTAATTAAGCATTGTCCTCATCTGTCTGATCAAGTGGCCTATAACAACTGCTAATTGTTAACTTTATACCCTTGAAATCCTGTTTGCAACCCATATAGATTCAATGTCTTGACTTCCAAATATTATGCCTTCATTCACAACAGAATGCAGCTCATCCCTGATGTAAAAAACCAACCCATCCCACTCCTCTTTTAAAAAGTCTATTAATGTTAAATGACTTGTAACCAGGAATTTCAAATTAATATAATAATAACAGCTAAACTTGTCTTTAAAGCTAACAGAATTATCTCTAAAACTATTAATTTACTTTTTCAATCTCATTGCTGACATAGCTCTCCTCTCTCTATTTGTTTATTTACTATTTCCCAAGCTCTTCTAATCACTTTGCAAATTTAAACTTTAATGAATATCACTAGAGCTTTCTTGCACATCTTGCTATCTAGCCAACATATAAATTACCCCTTTCCATAAAACTATCCACATTCTTTAAAAGCAAATGCAAGAGTGACTATGTGGTATTTAGTCCACATTAGCAATCCATGTGCCAGTAGAAAATGTCCAAATTATCTATGAAAAAAAAAAACTTGTGGCAATTTTTTATTTTTTTTTCAGAAAGAGTAATATGATATAATAATGGAGTGTTAGAAAAAGTTATGAAACAAGTGCACACCTGTTTTGTGTGTGTGTATGTATTGGGGAGGGTAGTAAGTATGCACTAATTGATTAATTAAATATAATCAATTAATTAATCCAGCACTCGGTCAATGAACCCTCTCCAGACTGGTCAAAGGCCATGTCACTGTGTTTGTTGACTCATTTTAAACATTTTTATTGAACTACTATTCCAGGAATTTATGTCAATAAGTTTGATATCATACTGTAAATTATAATTCAAATTTTGGTATTATGCATTATTTAATTTCTTAATTTAAAAATATAAAAAAACACAGATAAACATTGATTTTTGTGTGTCACATGGTATGTTGAATGCAGCACTAGTTCAGATTAGATGTTTGTGATGTCAAAATACTACGTCTATAGTGTCTTATGAATTAGGAACTCAAATTACTGATATTGACAAGCTAGAATATAAAATAAGAACCTCGTATCTTTTCTGTTTGCTGATATATCACTCATGTAATGAATCAAACACAGTGGCCCCACTCACCTCTTTCCATTTTTGGAATTGGTCTCTTATATGCACTACAATATATGACATGTGAATAACCATTTTAAAGCTCAGAATGTCCCCTAATGGCTTTGTCAGCCATTTTTATGTGTTAGGACACCACCTCTTTCAAGGAGGAAGGTTGTGTCTTTAGTCTGCTCGAAATTTCATATTTTTCTAGACCCAATTACAGCTTAGTTACTAAGCTTGGTAAATTATAGTGGAATTCTTTGGTATTGATGTAGTAATTTATGATTTTTTGGTTATTCAACTGTATGTTTTAAACCTAAAAAAATTATTTTGTTTCATATCCTCCATCTGTGAAATTTTAAAAGGCTTAGCAACCTATGTCAAACAGCAACCGAGTACTAAGGTCATAATTGGAAGAGACAATTGTTTGCTTTACTTCTTTATTTACTGTTCTATGTTTTAAGAAAAATATGTTTAAGAACTTATTTGTAAATAGTATTAATCTATATACATATATAATGTATGATAATAAAAATGTAACTCTATTTTACAAAATATTAGTCTACTAAAACACAGCCAAGACGGGTCACTTTGCAAAGACTAAAGATAAGTTTTATAATATTGGATATGGTAGCATGAGAGCACGAGTGCCACATCATTGTAACTTCTGTATTGTTAGCCAAGCACAGCTGAAAGGTCAATATAATAAAAATGATATATATTATATCATGTATAATGCTGTGAGATTTAAGCTATTTAGTCTAAACATTTATGTTTTCATGTTATATTTTGTTGTCATTCTAGAACGAAAGAAGCATAATTTATATTCTTAATTTCTTATTGTGGTTAGGTGGTTACAAGATCGGTCAAATATACTGAACCCGTACAGAGATTCATTAGTGAAAATATCAGATAAAATATAAAGTTTTTTTCTTAAGAAACATTTGATAACTATCTGGGCATTATAAAGATTTTGCATGGGAAATTTGAAAATTTTTCTGATGCATAAAAGTATTTTTAATCTTGAAATGAAAATTACTTTGCATGCTGGATAAGCAACATGTGAAAAGAAAAAAAAAGGCATGAGAAAAACATTGCTTAACAAACCTTAAGACTTAATAAAAAATATTATA